CCCGCGGGCAGCGGACAGGGTTATCCGCTGCCCACGCGCTCCGCGGCTTGGCTCTGCTTTGCCAGCCGCTGTTGAAACTGATCAGTTTCAGCAGCGGCTGAATCTGGACGCCAGTTCCGACTTACATACAGATTCAACTTAAGAACAAACCTACAGTCCCTATCTTGTACGTAACCCAGGGACTGCCTGTACTCCATGTCTACAGTTCATAGATGCATTTGATGCCCTTGATTTTGGTTGAGATGCACAGAAAATATTCAACATAATGTGCTGCCTTATTGCACCATAATGCAAAGTGTTAAGTGCTTTTATGTCAATTGTATTAACATTTGATTGTCCCACATTCCAGGCATTTGGGAAGTTATTCTGCCTTAAGGCAGCTGAGGTGATTTAAGTTTCATGTTAGAGTACAACTTTCTTTTATTCCTTTGTCAGAATTGTTTCTCCCTACATTATTTACTTATTGCAATTTTGCAGTTGGATTCTGGTTTGGTTTTGCTGCCAGTCTCAGTTCATTTGGATGTATTGTTTGTACGTCTGTTTTTGTTCATATTCTCTCTGAAACAGCTTAGAGGCTTTCAGACATGCATGACTGAAATGAAAATATTTATTCCTAAGCACAATATATCCACTATGCAATAGTTCAGTGGTGGTTTTGTGTTGTCAGTAAATGCGCAGAGTTAAAATTCTAGAGAAATGATTTGGGGAAGCAATATCTTATCCTGCTCTCTCTCTCTCTTTCTTACCTGGTCTATGCAATTGTTTAACACTCCTGCCATTCTTAACATTTTTGACGCACCCACCAATGAAACCACCCCAAGGAAGTTCATAAATACCAGGCAGATTATAATCTGGAAGTGACATCATAGGACTCAACAGGCTCAGACATTATGGGGTCTACTCTTGGCTCCATCAATGAGTTGCTTGTGTCACGTAAGAGCTGATATTTTGAGCAATCACAAATCCCACTGAATTGCCCTTATCTGCAATTCATGTCCCCCATTGGCAATATGGGGATAATAATGCTTTCCTACCTTCATAAAGCACTGGGAGGTAAATGTGCTGTTTAAGAACCAAGTATTAATAGTAATAAAATTATTTGCAGGACAAATTCCTCATACTGCATCATGAAATCAGAACAGCTAAACCAGCACGATGCTACAGTACATAATGGGACAATGACACTGCATTCTCACTTCCTTCAGTACCATTAGGAGAAGCTGACAGGATGTTACTGTGCAAATGCAAAGTCATCATGTATCAGCACTGCACTACAACCTAACATTATGATGTTGCAAAGTCAAAATTCAATACTCTCCCAGCCCTACAAGCTAGACTCAATAGGGTGAAGAAGGCCAGCAAGAACCTGAAAACCTCCTATGAATTTTGCAAATGTGGGCAACTCTACAGTACTGAAAAGCCCATTAAAATCTATAATGTCTGGACACGTACAAAACTGAGTTGTAAGACCACAGATATCTTGTAGCCCAGAATATTTCAGGGGATTGTTGATTGACAGGCGAGACCAGCAGTTTTCACTCTGAGGATCGTGACCTCCCAAACAATAGGTGTCAGGGGACCATAACCACCATGTTTATTTTTTTCAATTGTTTAAAATTATATTTCTAGTCCTTTTGGTCATGGAGGAAACTTCAAAAC